CAGGATATGTTCTGCCCCCCCCTTCCCCTAAGGCAGGAGATCTTACCGTGTTCTGGTCCATATAGTGAGGCAGTATAGACGCCATTACACGCAGGGTCACCTCCTCTGCCCGGCCTCCCATATTCAGTACACTGGTCGGCCATTTGTCTTCACTTTTACAGAAGTGGTCGGGGTCTGCAACGTAATTCAACAATCCTCCAGAGACAGCTGAGAATCCCCGAGCATCCAACTGTGACACCGAGGAGCCATTCACCGCAGAGAAGAGACTGTCTGGTGTCAGGCACTGTGCAGAGAGACAGAAGAGAGTTCAACAAATCCAACAAAATACAATATAAATGTCACCCACTCAGAGAGGCACATTGACCCAAGAGAGACAGCCCGGTACTGAGATACTTGTACTGAGCGAGAGAGAGAGACAAACACCCGGTATGAAGAGAGACCGTCTCCATTCCGAGAGAGAGAGAGAGAGAGACTCCATACCAAGAGAGAGACTCCATACTAAGAGAGAGAGAGAGACTCCATACTATCAGAGAGAGAGACTCCATACCAAGAGAGAGAGAGACTCCATACCAAGAGAGAGAGAGACTCCATACCAAGAGAGAGAGAGACTCCATACCAAGAGAGAGAGACTCCATGCCAAGAGAGAGAGAGACTCCATACTATCAGAGAGAGAGAGAGACTCCATACCAAGAGAGAGAGAGAGACTCCATACTATCAGAGAGAGAGAGAGACTCCATACCAAGAGAGAGAGAGAGACTCCATACTATCAGAGAGAGAGAGAGACTCCATACCAAGAGAGAGAGAGAGAGACTCAATACCAAGAGAGAGACTCCATACTATCAGAGAGAGAGATACTTCATAGCAACAGAGAGAGAGACTTCATAGCAACAGAGAGAGAGACTTTGTACCACATGTGTCAAACTCAAAGCCCAGGGGCCGAATCGGCCCACCAGGCCATTTCCTAGACTTCTACTCTCAGATCTCGGTATGAAGTGATAATGGAATGCAGAGGCAACGATGATGAAGATTAGATACATGTATATCGTCTTACAGATACCTTTGAGGGCAACCATAATGCTGATGCGGCCCACAATTAAATTGAGTTTGACACCCCTGCTCTATACCAACAGAGAGAGAGAGACTCCATACCGAGAGAGAGAGACTCCATACCGAGAGAGAGAGACTCCATACCGAGAGAGAGAGACTCCATACCGAGAGAGAGAGACTCCATACCGAGAGAGAGAGACTTCATACCAACAGAGAGACAGATTCCATTCCAAGAGAGAGAGAGACTCCATACCGAGAGAGAGAGACTCCATACCGAGAGAGAGAGACTTCATACCAACAGAGAGACAGATTCCATACCGAGAGAGAGAGACTCCATACCGAGAGAGAGAGACTCCATATAGAAGGAGTCAGGACCAAATACCTTTTACTATTTGCAAAGTAAGTGATGAATTGTTACCCGGGGGAGGGGAGGGGATGGGGCATATACAGGGAATATGAAGGATGTGAGTCCTGGTACTGAGTACTTGGGTGGCCCTGGTCACACTCCTGCTACAGTCAGCTATTCCTGTCCTTGTAGGCCTGATTTTGCAGACTTTAGGTGCTCGGTCTGTACAGCCTCAGGATGTGTCCTCAGGGTTTGGTAACATTGCTCACATGCACCAGGCATGGGCCTGGTCTGTACTGTCTATTCACTGGAATATTTCTCTTAACTTTTTTCCTTTACTTTTGGCAAGTTTTGGTTGGACCGGAGTGCCGCTGGTTGTTGGGAGAGAGGGATGGAAGCCTATTGGGATGTTTGGTGGAATGGAGTTTTGATGGGTTGTTGGGAGTGTTGGGTGGATGGGGTGCTGATGAGGCGCTGGAAGTGTTGGGTGGATGGGGTGCTGATGGGTTGTTGGGTGTGTTGGGTGGATGGGGTGCTGATGAGGCGCTGGAAGTGTTGGGTGGACGAAGTGCTGATGGGTTGTTGGGAGTGTTGGGTGGATGGGGCGCTGATGGGTTGTTGGGAGTGTTGGGTGGATGAGGTGCTGATGAGGCGCTGGAAGTGTTGGGTGGATGGGGCGCTGATGGGTTGTTGGGTGGATGAGGTGCTGATAGATTGTTGGGAGTGTTGGGTGGATGGGGAGCTGATGAGGCGCTGAAAGTGTTGAGTAGATGGGGTGCTGATGGGTTGTTGGGTGGATGGGGTGCTGATGGGGTGCTGATAGATTGTTGGGTGGATGGGGTGCTGATAGGTTGTTGGGAGTGTTGGGTGGATGGGCTGCTGATGAGGCGCTGGAAGTGTTGGGTGGATGGGGTGCTGATGGGTTGTTGGGAGTGTTGGGTGGATGAGGTGCTGATAGTTTGTTGGGAGTGTTGGGTGGATGGGGTGCTGATGGGTTGTTGGGAGTGTTGGGTGGACGAGGTGCTGATGGGTTGTTGGGAGTGTTGGGTGGACGAGGTGCTGATGGGTTGTTGGGAGTGTTGGGTGGATGGGGTGCTGAT